TCAAAATCTTTGTCCAAATGTTTTGTTCTTCAATCTATAACGTTTGTTTCAATTTTTTTTTAATGATTTTATCAAAAAAGGAAATTCGTCTTTCTAGATAAAAAGATTAGTATGGTATTAGCTTTTTAAATTGTGAAAATGTTGTTCCAAGTCAAAACATTTGATCATCAAATATGATAATTAGTTGGCAAACATCTATATCCCTTTGTGTATTAAAATGTTTTTATAGTCATGGTCATGGACACTTTTCCTATCTACATCTATTTATTAGTGATGATAATAATGACGATGACATTAATGATAGAATTAGAAGACAAAAAGATCACGATAATTAGACGTAAGAAAAAAAGAAATTGAACTGCACATAGAATTATTTCATACAATAGACTTAAGATCAAATTACCTAATTTACTTAAAAAAAAAATTCGAAATTGTTAATGTGGGCTGAGAGAGAGACCTTGATTAATTTTGTTTCATCCGAAATTCATTTTTCTTTGATTTTAAAAGATAGATCAGTTTTTGGACCAAAAAAAAAAAAGATATCAGTTAAAAAAATTAAAATTATCCATTGGTTTGCGACTTTCCGTATATAGTATTGCTTGTAATCAGTGCGTGTATCTACGATCTTTTGTGTAATAGCTCTTATTCTTCTACATGAAATCTCTTCGATTTGTTGCAACTTGAGGAGCAGAGAGAGAGCAGAGTGAAGGAAGAACATGGGAAGCAGCACAGGCGATCTGGTGACACGTGTACAATCAGCTCATCGGTTCGATCACGATGCCTTGTTTCGTTTCGCCGCCGACAACGTCTCCGGTTTTCCGACCAACCCATCTCAATTCACCGTCTCACAGGTATCTTTCCAATCTCCGGCGTCTTAAGGCTGTCTCCGGGAAGAAAGAAACCTTATCTGTTTTTTCTTTCTTTCTGGGTTTTACAGTTCGGACATGGGCAGTCGAATCCCACATTTCTGATCGAGGTTGGCTCGGGGATTTCCTTGAAACGATACGTTCTGAGGAAGAAGCCTCCTGGGAAGCTCCTTGAATCTGCTCATGCTGTTGATAGAGAGTTCCAGGTATTTTACCAATCTTGACCTCTGGAAAATCCCCAATCACTCCGAGCTGTAGACAAGCTCCTGATTTTGAATTTCGATTTTGGGTTGTGAAATGTTTAGACTCCTCTGATTTTGCTTTCTGGGTTCGTTCGATTCTTGAAGAAGATGAATTGCCGATTTTTGTAATTCTGTCTTGATTACAGAATCTGTGTAATTGTTTGTGATAAAAGGTGGAGGCTTTTGCCTAATGCTTTTGATGATTGTTATGTAGGTGCTAAGGGCTTTGGGTGAACATACACAGGTTCCTGTTCCTAAAGTCTTCTGCTTATGCACTGACCCCACTGTGATTGGGACTGCATTTTACATTATGGAGTTTATGGAAGGACGTATTTTTATAGATCCCAAGTTGCCGGTAAGGCATTCTGCTATGTGAATGTGAATGTTCGGTTTTCTAGCTTTAGATGTGAGTCATAGTGAACAGAAAGGCGTAAATTGTATGTGTTTCATTGCTTTTTGACTTAGAATGTAGCGCCCGGAAGAAGGAGTGCGCTCTATCGTGCAACTGCAAAAGCCTTAGCTTCTCTTCATTCTGCTGATGTGGATGCTATTGGTCTTGAGAAATATGGTAGGCGAGCCAATTACTGCAGAAGACAAGTTAGTGGATTAATTGGGACATCACTAGTTTGTTGTTCTCTTAATGCTTAGGTGCTCTTGCCAACGATCTTTTGAATTGATTGGATATCTTAATTTCAGATAGATAGGTGGTTCAAACAATATTTGGCATCAACAAGTGAAGGTAAGCCTGAAAGGAATCCAAAGATGGTTGAGCTTGTAGATTGGTTACGCAAAAGCATCCCTGCGGAAGATTCAACAGGAGCAACCTCAGGCCTTGTACATGGAGACTTCCGCATTGACAATCTCGTGTTTCATCCTTCTGAGGTCTGAATACTTTCAAGTTCTATTTGTTTTTGATCCTTGGATAGTTTTTGAGACCTTACTGAATACGTTGAGTTGCAGGATCGAGTTATTGGTATTATTGACTGGGAATTGTCCACGCTTGGGAACCAAATGTGTGATGTCGCATACAGCTGTATGGTAATAAGCTATTTTTTGTTGTTACATAGTATTCACAAAGCGGTTTTCTTTCTTTCCTGCTCTGATGTACAGTTCATGGTATTGGCAGCATTACATTGTGAATGTTCAGCTCGATAAGGAGCACGTGAGTGAAGGTCTTGAAACTGCTGGACTTCCGGAAGGAATTCTTTCAATGCCAGAATTTCTCTTAGAATACTGTTCTGCATCTGTAAGTCATGAAACAGCATTTAATGTTAAATTTGTTTTTTATATTGTACACTGTCTAGAAAAGAAACCGAGTCAGTGATCCTCGTAAATTGCCTATATTTTCTCAATTTTTGATCGTTGTGACATATTGGCAAATGGTGTTTAGGGAAAACCATGGCCTGCTTCAAACTGGAAGTTCTACGTAGCGTTCTCTATGTTTCGGGCTGCTTCAATCTACACTGGGGTGTACAACAGATGGTTAATGGTATTGTCCGTGAAAATGTATTGTAAGATTCTTTGTTGTGTAGTTGTCGAGCCATTGACATTGTGTTGGCCATGCAGGGGAATGCTTCTGCTGGTGAACGTGCTCGGAATACAGGGGCTCAAGCCAATGAGCTTGTAGAGTCTGCCTTGGGTTATATTGCACGCGAAAATGTTCTCCCTGAGCATCCTCCATCTGGTAATTCACCTCTATGAGATACAAGTTTGCAAAGGAACACTGTTTAATTTACATTTCTTCTTTTACGGTTCTAATTTGCATTTCTCGTTTTGGAAGCAGTTAAAAGAGATGTGAGTCCGTCATACGAAAGCCTTGTGGATGGAACTGGGAGATTTGTTCCCAACAGAAAAGTATTGGAAATAAGGCAGAAGTTGATCAAGTTTATGGAAACTCACATCTACCCAATGGAACACGAGTTCTACAAACTTGCTCAATCAGATTCGCGATGGACCGTTCACCCTGAGGAGGAAAGGCTAAAGGAGGTGGCTAAGAGAGAAGGCCTATGGAACTTATTTATCCCGGTATGTACACTACGAACCTTTTTATTGCTTTTAATATTGAATGAGAGTGACTTATAGATTCTTGGTTCTTGCAGGTAGATAGTGCTGCTAGAGCTAGAAGAGAACTGGCAGCTATTGAGAATAAACATAATTTCTCGGGCAGGTCTTTTGACCAATTGTTTGGTGAGGGCCTCACAAACCTAGAGTATGGTTACCTTTGTGAGATCATGGGTCGTTCTATTTGGGCTCCACAGGTGTTTAATTGTGGTGCACCTGATACTGGAAACATGGAGGTAAAAGCCTGGTTTTGTTTACGGGTACAGAAGTCGTCTCATAGCTTGTTACTTGTATTTATATCATCCGTACTATCTTGTAGGTGATACTGCGGTATGGAAGCAAAGAGCAAATTTCTGAATGGCTTATTCCGTTGCTTGAGGGAAAAATTCGTTCTGGATTTGCTATGACTGAGCCACAAGTTGCATCGTCTGATGCAACAAATATTGAGTGCTCTATTAGAAGGTAAGATATTTTCTTGGATTCTCTTTTGTTGGAATCTACTTTCAATCAAGTTCGATAGAAAAAATGCCAAATGTCATCTTCAATTTCTCTACTGGTAATTCTTGAAAACTGAAATTGTGTTCACATTTCTCCTTGCTTATACAGACAAGGTGATTCATACATCATTAATGGCACAAAATGGTGGACAAGTGGAGCCATGGATCCCAGGTGCAGAGTTCTTATTCTCATGGTTAGTTCTCTTTCCTTGCTCTCTTTCTATCTATACACACACATAAATGTCTTTGTTCAATTTTTGCTAGTTAATCAAAGAAATTATATCTGTGCTGCACAGGGAAAAACAGACTTCAACGCCCCGAAACATAAGCAACAGTCTATGATATTAGTCGACATGCAGACTCCTGGTATACATGTGAAGAGGCCTCTCACAGTGTTTGGTTTTGATGACGCGCCTCATGGACATGCTGAAATTTCTTTTGAAAATGTGGTTGTCCCGGCGAAGAACATTCTCCTTGGAGAAGGCCGAGGATTCGAGATTGCTCAGGTAATACTACTAAAGATAGACTGTAATTCAGGGCCTGCAGTAAGAGAAAGAGGAAAGTATTGATGGGTCGCTTGCTTTGTTTGTCATATCAGGGTAGGTTAGGCCCTGGAAGATTGCACCATTGCATGAGACTAATAGGTGCAGCGGAGCGTGGAATGGAGCTAATGGCTCAAAGAGCTCTAAGTAGGAAAACTTTTGGGAAGTTCATAGCGCAGCACGGTTCTTTTGTCTCTGATCTTGCAAAGGTAAACGATACTGTGTGCTTTGATCACCCAAATGTTTCTTATCAGCTCTGATTTGAGTATATGATACAGTTGCGGGTAGAGCTGGAGGGAACCCGATTGTTAGTTCTAGAAGCTGCTGATCATCTCGATAAGTTTGGAAACAAAAAAGCTCGAGGAATTCTGGCAATGGCCAAGGTAAAAATGATTAGTAAATTCTTGTTTCTGTCAAAAACCGACCAAAGTAAATCTTGAAGAACCAAAAGTAATTTTGGTACTCAGGTTGCAGCTCCAAACATGGCGTTGAAGGTACTGGACACGGCAATGCAAGTTCATGGAGCGGCCGGTCTATCCTCGGACACAGTCTTGGCGCATCTGTGGGCCACGGCCAGGACGCTGAGGATTGCTGATGGACCTGATGAGGTTCATCTTGGGACCATTGGCAAATTAGAACTACAGAGAGCGTCAAAGCTTTAAAGCTTTTCTGGATCTGCGAGTCTGTATCAGAAAGAAAAAAGAAGAAGATGATTCCTCTTTTATTTACATCACAATAAAGCTGTACTTGGGTCTTTTACTCCAAAGCACTAAAGCAAATCTGAATAAAGTTTATACAGGATCATCTCTTCTGTTTCATATTGCTATTTCTTAATCTGATGAGATAATGCATTGTGACGTTCAACAGCTAAACGAACCAACCATTTTGAGATTCTTCTCATGCCGGTTACAGCTACTTTTACTCTTTATCTCTAAAATCAAATTCCTCACAGAGTACAAATCATTCAAATCACAGATTTTCTTAAGAATATTATCAAGGTTCACAAAAATCCACGACTCCAAAACCATACTATTCATAGGCTGTCACAAAGCGGGAATCCAAACATTTTGGATTGAGGAAAATACCACAAATTTGTCGGATAAAAGACAATATTCCTAAAGACAGAAAATGTAACATAGCCTCATGTTCTTTCCCTCAAACCCCCTCAAAAATAGCATTACAAAGTCATCTCTATATTAACCCCATCAAGATCTTTCGATCCATTTGTTCTACGAATTGTATACACCAAAAACCCCATCCCCCACCAAAAAATAAAATAAAAAAAATTCAGAGCTAGAAGGGGCCTTATAGCCACCGTTACAGGCCCCGTCTGCTCCATTTCTAACATGTAAAAAAAGTAGGGAACAAAAAAACTTGAAAAACTACAACAAAATACATATTTTTTATCTTCTGAATTTTGTGTATAAAGAAAACCTAAAAAATGGGGTTTGATGGCGACAAGAAGAGGAAATGCATCATCGCAGGTAGTGTTTCGGGTTTGCTAGTCATCATGGTAGTTTCTGTAGCCGTCGTAACGTCTAAACACTCACCCAAAGGCGATGAGAATGAAATCCGGAAAACCACCAAAGCGGTTCAAGCAGTTTGTGAACCCACTGACTACAAAGAAACCTGCTTCAACAGCTTAATGAACGCTGAACCCAAAAACACTGAGCCTCTTGACCTCATCAAACTCAGCTTCAACGTCACTATCAAATCCATCCACGAAAGCCTAAAAAAAGCCTCTGGAGATGTTAAAGCCAAGGCTAGCAAAGACCCAGCAGCAAAAGGTGCTTTCGAGCTGTGTGAGAAGGTGATGATTGACGCTATTGATGACCTGCAAAAGTCTTTCAATAGAGGGTTCTCGCTTGCTCGGATCGAATACTATGTTGAGGATCTTCGGGTTTGGCTAAGCGGCTCCATTGCATTCCAACAAACATGTATGGATTCCTTTGAGGAAATTAGGTCGAATCTTATGCAAGACATGATTAACATCTTCAAAACATCAAAAGAGCTTAGTAGCAATAGCCTTGCCATGGTTACTGGCATCTCAAGCCTTGTCCCAAATTCCAACATCACAGGTAATCTATCTTTTTCAATTTCTCCAAAATATCCATTACTAATCAATCAGAATCAATACGGATACGATAATGTGATTCTTGATAACAGGACTAACCGGAGCTCTTGCAAGCTACGCGAGAAAGCTTCTCTCTACGGAAGATGGTATCCCAACATGGGTTGGACCAGAGGCAAGACGGCTCATGGCGGTTCAAGGAGGAGGACCAGTGAAGGCTAATGCCGTGGTGGCTCAAGACGGAAGTGGCCAGTTCAAGACCATCACCGATGCTCTAAATGCTGTGCCTAAAGGCAACGCAGTACCATTCGTCATCTACATCAAAGAAGGTATCTACAAGGAGAAAGTAATGGTCACAAAGAAAATGCCACACGTCACTTTCATCGGCGACGGACCAACCAAGACCGTAATCACCGGTAGTCTCAATTTCGGTATCGGAAAAGTCAAGACCTACCTAACAGCCACCGTCAGTGAGTTCCACTGCTAAAAAACCTAAAATTCCCAAAGAGAGATTCTAAAACATTACAAACATTTACCAGATTTTGGTTTGTTGTAGCAATCGAAGGTGACCACTTCACAGCGAAGAACATCGGAATCGAAAACACAGCCGGACCAAAAGGAGGACAAGCGGTGGCGTTGAGAGTCTCGGCGGATTACGCCGTCTTCTACAGCTGTCAAATCGACGGTTACCAAGACACGTTATACGTTCACTCTCACCGGCAATTCTACCGTGACTGCACAGTCTCCGGCACCGTCGATTTCATCTTCGGCGACGCGAAATGCATCCTGCAGAACAGTAGAATCGTCGTTCGAAAACCTAAACGAGGTCAATCGTGTATGGTTACAGCTCAGGGACGATCCGATGTCCGTGAATCGACCGGAATTGTGCTACATAACTGCCATATAATGGGAGATCCGGCGTATATTCCGGTGAAGACTGTGCGCAAAGCTTTTCTCGGAAGGCCATGGAAGGCGTTTTCGAGGACGATCATCATGAAGACGACGATCGATGACGTCATCGATCCAGCTGGATGGCTTCTTTGGCAGGGAGAGTTTGCGCTCAAGACGCTATTTTACGCCGAGCATTTGAATATTGGGCCTGGATCGACTCAGGCCCAAAGAGTAAAATGGCCCGGAATCAAGAGATTATCGCCCAATGAGGCCCTTATGTTTACTGGGGACAGATTCTTACTTGGCGACACGTGGATCCCACAAACACAAGTCCCGTACACCGCGAACATGTAGGAGAGATTTTTCCAATTTGTAAATGATTCTTTTTTTTTTTTTACCGGGTTTTAAATTTTTTGTTTTTTAATGTGTTCTTCTGAATTTGTGATGAAGAATGATTAATTAATTGATTATTTATCGCCCATTTTATACTGATTTTGGCATCTCCTCTCCCGAGTGATGTAATTAAGCTGTAAATGTTCATTAGTGAATAGAAATTCTTTGTTATAGGCCTATAATACAAAATCGGTTATAGAACACTACTCGTTAAAAGTTTAGAACTGATTTATTGATTTTTTTTTTAAGTTTGTCCGAATAAGTCATACACAAGTAAGTTTTAATAATGATATGATTTTTTTAGATTTGATGTGAGGATAATATACATATATATAACGATGAGCAAGTCGAGGAGCTAGCATGCGTTATGGAGATCACGTGATGCTCATGCACATGTATCGTTCTTCGAGATTGCCTGCATCCAATATTGTTTTTTGTCTTTGAACGGTGAAATCAATAACATTCCTCGCTTCGGGAAATTAAAAAACTACTAATTTGTAGCTTACTATAACTAGCAAGGAGCACTTATATGTGTCTTATCAATTTTCGTGGAATTATGTATATGTCAGTAAGTGGGTGCAGAAAATATTTGAAGTTATTTTGTGCATTGTAAAGTTATATTGATCAACCTAATTCATATATAGTGGTTGGTTGGTTGATTTGATTAGATCATTTGGAGTCAATTACGGTAGACTATGACTCTTTTACATGAGAATACCTGATTATGTTGCAAGTTTTGAGGATTAGTTTCGTTTTTGGTATTATGAATAAGATTACCTAATTATCCCTTGAGTTTTGAAAATTAGTTTCTGCTTTGGCCGGGAAGCTTATTACTATTGATTTTTCTTATATATATATATTTTTACTAGAAAATGGTATCATTTTGTGTTAAATTCTTTAATTTTGTTTTTAAAAACTTAATTATTTTAAAGTTAATAATGAAATGTAGGGAATATAACATAAGGACAATGATAATGTATGGTCATTTTTATAAGAAACAAAAAAATATAAAATTGGAAATATATGGGGAAAGAAGGAAGTGAGGGATGTTGAAAACGATACAATAGACGACGACTCGTTGCATTGAATTTGAGTGAACCCCACACTATCCCCAACGGCACATTAGCCATTCTCTTTCACATTACCCATTTTTCCTCCATTAAAAAAACTCCACATCTCCAACGACAACAAACTACCCAAGAAGAAGAATGTCCAACATTTCCCCAATCTTCCCCATTCCCGAATCTCATCATTTCACTGACTATGGCTTCGATTTCGATCCCCAAATCAACTACTTCCAGGTACTTTTTTGCTATGGTTTCTGAGGTTTTCTTTAAATGGCATTCTTAATTTTTGCTCTATATTCGCATTCGGCTCTGTTTTTTTAAAGTAAACTTTGGTCTTTTAGTGACTCTGTTTTTGATGTTTATTTTGGGGAAAGGTTATGGAAGAAGCAAGGAAGCATAAGAGAGAAACATCAGCGAAATCTTCCATTAACGGTATTCACTTCAAGCTCCAGAAACCCATTTCAAAAGACGACCCGACCCGAACCACATTACACAGCAAGAGGAAGAAACAACGGTGGTGGAAGAAAGCTTTCCCTTCTTTCCTCAAGTGGCGGAAGTGGCCAATCTCCACCGTTGGTCTGAACGAGGATCGTAGGGCTAAGAATTTTCGCGCCGTAACCGGGTCAATGTCAATGTCAATGTCGGGTCCGGTTTACGCAACCGAGAGTCGAAGCGGGTTGAGCACACCGTACCGTACGACGACTACTACGAGTAAACATTCGTCGGGACCTATAGCCGGAACACTAACGCCGGCGAGGAAAGGTGACGTGGCGATCCCATATCTGAGCTTACGAGAGCTTAACATGGAACAGCAACAGAGGATCTCTATCTCTTCTTCGCCCATTTACTTGGTCACGTAACAATATTAGTAAAATTTAATAACCACTTTAGAAAAAAGTATACAACTTTTATTTTTGGTTTGGGAGAATTCTATTGTGATGTTTTCTAATCTTTTTGCAATTTGTGAAAGCTGCCTATCCCACGTGAATCAAATATAGATACATGCTTCTTGTAGTCTTTTGTTTAATATCTTTATAAAAAAAAATATAATTTATTTGAATTTTTCAGATCTTGATGGTTGAAAGTGACTGGAACCGGTAAGAAAGGAGATTCCCTTGTCTTGTACGACTCCTTAAATAAAAAAAATTAAGAACGTAGTACACAGATTCGAACGTTGATCCAATATGAGAATTAATACGTCTCCTTCGATATACAATTTTTTTTAATGTAAATTATGACCTGGTTTAGTTCACACTAGCTGAGTTATATAACACATCACGCAGTTCAGACATTAAACTTGAAACTTGGTCTTTATTCGAACATGAAGATTCATACAACTGTTGTTTCCGAGTCCAATCTTCTACAAGACTCACAGAGAAACATGAACCATTCTCTTTTTATCTCATTTGAAGCATTAGCAACTCCGGTTTCTCAATATACTCTTTCCACTGGCAGCAAAACCGAGCTACCGTTGCTCCATCTAGAACTCTATGATCCGCAGCGATGTTGACCTGAATCAAAAACCCAATTTATAATCACATTTTGGTAGTAACAAAAAGTCTTGAACTAAGAAATGATAAAACATGATTAAACTTTTTACCATCATTATCGACGCAGGATAAACAGTTCCGTCTTTTGCGAATTTTGGAACTTTCTCGATTCTTCCAAGAGCGATGATGGCAACTTCGGGTAAGTTTAGAAGAGGAGACCCGAATTTCCCACCGATTGCTCCAATGTTACTTAGAGTTATGGTTCCACCGGTTACATCCTCGGGGTTAAGTTTGTTGTTTGTTGCCAAATGTTGTAACCGCGAAAGCTCTTTGGTTATCTCTAGTAGAGATAATGACTGGACATTCTTTATGTTAGGAACGACAAGCCCATGCTCAGTAGCCATTGCAACTCCAATGTTATGTGAACCTGCCATAAATCAAATAATCGATATCTATAATCTAAGGATAATAAGCTCAAAATCAAAATAACAATAGAAATAGTTCATATAAAAAACCTTTGAGAATGATCTCCAGAGACTCCTCGTTGAAGCAACTATTCACGGAGGGATATTTACTTAGAGCCATTGACAGTGACTTGATTAAAGTGGGAAGGAAAGTGTGTTTGATGGTGGAATCTGTATTGTTCTCTTTAAAGAATTGCTTTAGCTCCACAAGTGCGTCGCAGTTTATCTCCTCAACGAAATGAAAATGCGGTACCTTTGTAGCCATAGTCATTGTCTTGACCATTGCTCGGTTGAATCCCCTGAGAATAAGGAAAGCATTCAACCATGATTCAGACACAGGATGGGTTGATTACCATTATAACCAGCCACATGTTGAAAAAAATATGCGTACCTTAAAGGAACTATTTTATCTTCAAAGTCACTCGTTATAGTGGAAACGGCATCTCCTCCTAGAACAGGATTCTCAGAAGAAACTGAATCTGTTACAATTCTTTTCTGGTCACCAAATCGAAGAACGTCCTCTTTCAAAACTCTCCCATCTTTACCACTTCCAATAATGACATTGATGTCTATACCAAGATCTTTCGCAAGGTTACGAACTGCAGGTGTTGACAGAGCGCCAACAAGACTGTCTGTTTTTTGCTTTGAAACGCCCGGATCTACATTACCTGAACACTCAGAGGTTACTAAAAGAGCATCCTGTGCGTCTTCAACCGCCAACCTAACCAGAATCTCTCCAACCTTGCATCAATAGATTTCACCGCG